TTCTTCCACAAAGGCTGGTCCTAATTGGGTTTCTTTGGACTTCGGATCAACTTGGTATCCAGGTGGAGCTGCCAGATGCTGAGCCACGTCCTTACTGGAAACCTCTCATCAGACTTTTGCACAGCACTGTAGTAGCTAGTTGTTTGGTGACTGGTTCTATCTGTAGCTGTTTTGGTTGTAATAATAACATTTGGTTTTGGCTGTAATCTTTTTCATTCAGCTGTCTATTACTGTCTTTACAATTTCATTTATTGTACTTATGGCCTGCTGCCACATGTTAAAGCATAATGCTGGATTGTAGCACTAGCACTTATGACTGTGGGGGAAACACTTTTAGCAACTATATCTAATATGACAGTCATGCAGGATGTTACAAAAAATGTGTTTTTAATGTGCTCAGAGGGCGGCAGTGGTTAACACTGTTGTACATCAAGAAGGTGCCATGGTCTGACCTTGTGGCCAACTGGGGCCTTTCTGTATGGAGTTTCCATTTTCTCCCCATCCGCACCTGCCAGGTTTCCAACCGTGTACTTTGGCTTCCTCCCATAGTCCAATGGCATGCAGGTTACTGTATGTTAACTGGTGACTCTAAATTGCCTGTAGGTGTGAATGTGCGTGTGAATGGTTTTCTGTCTATGTATCTTAATTGGAACCAAGTTTCCCCCACTTGCATCTTTTCCTTGTACATTAGTCCCACCCACATAATATCTGAGGGCAAGGATGTGGAAAAAACAAGTTGCAAGGAGAGAGAAATTGAGGAAACACATTTCTACTGACATGACACATCCTTTCCTGGCTTGGTTCGGAAGTTGTTCCAGTCTAGGAACAATCTAATAAGGTAATTGGGATTTATCATTTGTGTTAACCCTGTGATAGACAGGGACCTGTCGAGGTGCACCCCCACCTCTCGCTCAGTGTCGGATGGGATTGGCTCCAATGACTTGAATAAATAAAGTTTACTTCTCTCAGATTTTAAGCCTGACTATACACTACATTTGGGACACCTTGACTTTATCAACATTATCAGGACATTACCTTATAATGAGTCACAGCCCACTTAATTTCCTCAAACTTTATCATCCTAATAGTATAATAATCTAGCTTGTCTGCTTCTCTTTATCACCATCTCCTCCTAAATGATTGGTGTAGATTTAATAACAGAGATCAGTTATCTGCATTTGTGAAGTTCATGACACTGTAATAGCGGTGTGCAGTCATTCTAGGTTCAGATTCCAGACTTGGTAAATTTGTTGAATCAGTGTAGCTTTTCACCAAATCTTTCCATAGACACACTATATTTCAGAATATACTAGAGATGTTTGGTAATAAAGGGATACAAACTGCATTCAAAAGTAGGTGTTTTTGTTTTTTTGCTTTTTTTTTGGTAAAATAATATTTAGATTTTTGATGTCTCAATTAAGCAGAACTGCACGAACTTGTTTCCTGTTTATCACTGTTGAAAAGCAACCTGGCCTTGTGCCAATTGGCTGCTGAGCTCCTCTGTGAGTAAGCTGTGGCATCAAGAATGTCTCTCTGGGATGTGTGGTCACTTTTTTGTCAAGTTTCTGGAACTGATAAAGAAAAGGTCAACTCAAGAGAGTGTGCTTCAGTACACAGAAGATGTGCTGTACTAGTGTAAGTCTATTTGCCATTCCTTGCACATACTCAGGAACAAGCAATTATGTGAGCAGAGGTTGCATCAATGGATTTTTTTTATTATGATATATTGAAAATCCTCCGTCTTCACATAATATAGTTTAATGAAGTTTGACATAACAAAACTGTGATTTCATGCTTCTAATGTAACTAAATATGTTGACAAGTCTGCACAAATGCCTGTGATGCAAGCTTAGCCTCATGAGTCCATTGGTTTCTGGCTAATATTACAATATGTTTTTCATCCCAGAGATTTGATGGCCTGGGGAGCTTATTAAAAACTACTAGAGTGATGTATACAACTCATCAACAACTCCAGTATGGCATTAGGGGCTTGGAGAAGTTTAAAATTCATAAACATCTAGTATCCCTTGTTATTCGTAAAAATCCATGCTAGAGAGAAAAAAATAACATCTGCTGATCTGTTGAGACAGAGTATCTCTGCAGTGCCCGAGGTGTTCTCAGTAGCCTTTGCAGACTTTCTCTGATATTGTTACTGTACATTTTCACCACAGTCCACCAGAGCTCTACGGAGCAGCAGACGGGAAGCAGTTAATGTTGTTCTTGCAGAGTTTGGTTTCAGGTAAGATCCTCAACATTCCCTAATGGCTCTCCGCCGGCATTTCACCTGATAGGATAGACGCAGCTGCAGCTGTGCAGGCCATTTGTGGACACCGGTTTTCTACTGGTGCAGCTGGTCTTCTATTCCGTGTCTTGGACCGAGCCTTCTGTTTCCTCTTCTCTTCTCTTCCTCTGCTGTCTAGTCTTCCAGGCGCCTGTTCTCTTCCCTGTTTTTCTTCCTTTTCTTCTTCTTTTGGTCCTGGGCTGCACCTATCCTCCAGCACTGGGCCCCTTCCCACCTGCCCATCGTGGGGGCTCCCTCACTGGTTTAGGGGGCTTGTGAGGTGCAAAACAGTTTTTCTTATTGTTGTGAATTGGTGCTATACAATAAATTGAACTGAAATTGGATGGAACTAAACCTCAAGACTCTTAGCCATTCAAACTCCCCAAGAGTGATGCAGACCTCCGTAGCCTTCCCCAAAACTGGCACGTTCACAAGCATTGTTTATCCTTATACTTCAATTTGTACCGAATGAGGGCAGGTCCCTGCTAGTGAAGCAGTTTTTGTTTTGTAGAGTTGGTTACTAATCATATGATTAAATGCTAGACTGACTAAGGAGATGGTGGTGGAAGAGGAGCGTAACTTCACTCCTCCATCCTCCAGCAGCTATTGCTGAGTTGTCCTTAAGTAGGTACTTAACCTTCAGATAAGATGCTGTGAAAATGGTCTTCTTATACAGAAGATGTAGAACTGAATGATTGTGAGCACTGCTGAATAAAGCAACCATTAACATTCCCTGGATGAATAAAATAAATGCATTTTAAAAATCTATACCGCACACATAAACACCCTTCTAGTGTTGGAGAGCAGAAAGATGTTTGGTTTCATTGGTCATCTACTCTGTAAATCTTTGTGCGAGCGAGTGAGTGAGTGAGTGATGCTAGAAGAGTTTGAAGTCCATTACCACAATACAATCAAAAAGCATTTCATGCAGCAGATACATACTGTATACAGACTCAAACTGTACACAAATGTGTCTTAGACTGACAACCTTCTATTTTCCCTTCAACTGTACATGTTCTCCCTAAAAAAATAAAAAATTATCACAACCTGCACACAAAACCCACACACAAAAGCTACACATATTAATGCATTTCTCTGTGCATAACATCTGTCAAAATGTCTACTGTGTTAACCTATGACTTGTGGAAAGTTTTCCTCTGCAAAATCTGAGATGTTGTTTGGCACCACTGGCATTTTAAATTGCAGAAAATATTTCATTTTCTATTGCCATCTGCATGTTTTTGTGTTTTCCATTGTGGTGGCAATCCCTGTAAAACGATCGTTTACTTTGATGCACGAGCGCAATGATTGATCAATGGTTAGAGGTCGCCATAAAGTGCAACAATAAAATGATTATTAAATGCCATGTAAGCATTAGATTGTGAGGACACTTACTCCCAATTTATTTATTAATATTCCATTTATTAGATCCCCCCCCTCCCCATATATATATAAAAATCCCCCACTCACCCCCCACTTTGGGGTGGTCTTATATTCCTTCCGTCAAGCTTGGTCTACCATACCAGGCAGGACCCCAGGTGCAGGCTGTGCAAAGATGCCCCTGAGACAATCCAGCACATAACAGTGGGGTGCAAGATGCTAGCAGGCAGGGCATACATGGAACGCCATAACCAAGTGGTTGGCATAGTGTATAGAAACATCTGTGCCGAGTACAGGCTGGAAGTCCCAAAGTCAAAATGGGATACACATGCAAAGGTGGTCGAGCATGACCAAGCTAAGATCCTGTGGGACTTCAAGATACAAACTGACAAACTGGTAATGGCCCACCAACTGGACATAGTGGTGGTGGACAAACAGAAAAAGAAGGCTGTAGTGATAGATGTAGCAATCTCAAGTGATAACAACATCAGGAAGAAGGAACATGAGAAGCTTGAGAAATACCAAGGGCTGAAAGAAGAGCTAGAAAAGATGTGGATGGTGAAGGCACTGGTGGTCCCTGTGGTAATGGGAACACTGGGGGCTGTGACCCCCAAACTGGGAGAGTGGCTCCAACAGATCCCAGGAACAACATCTGAGATCTCTGTCCAGAAGAGTGCAGTCCTAGGAACAGCTAAGATACTGAGCAAGGAAGGAATACAAGACCGCCCCAAGGTGGGGGACGAGTGGGGAATTTTTTTTTTTATTTATATGACTACATAGAGTTGAATACACCCACACTACACACTCTCATACACACAAACCAAATGTAAAATCACCTATATCTCTTTTGTAAATGTCTATAGAGTCTTGTCCTCTGTCCTATAAACATGTTATTTTGTGTTGCAATTAAAAATAAATGAATAAATGTAAGGCCATCTCACCATAGGGATATAATTGAGTCTACTGTCAATGTAGAAAGTATATTTTAATTCAAAGCTCACTTCTGTATTGATGGGGCAGGAACCGAGTGCATACAGTTCAGCTACATCAAATTCTATATGACAGCGGCTGTTTCTTTCAGTGGCAGATGTCATCTTCTGAGTATGTTAATGTATGCTTCCCCCTGGCTGTTCACTGAAAGCCAGGCCACAGGTGGAAATGCTTGAAAAGGAAGTACCTGGAAAATGCCTGTAACTGAATTTGTTTCCTATTTGTGAATTGCACCAACAGAGTCCACCAGATATTTATGTGGTGCTACTTTTAATGCTGTATACCGCACAGCTAAAATATGAGGTGAGTGAATGTGACTGACCTTTGTTTATGTGTTTTCTCAATGCAGCTGGATGCTTCGTGAAGCATGGTGGTGAAGATGGTTCAAACTTACTTAATGAGGCCACTGTCATGGGAGCGGGTCACATGGCCGAGTATAATGGGAACGGGAGTCCTTTATCTGCTGCTGCTGCTATCGACCTGTCTCGGCCAAGACACAGAAGGTAAAGGCAGTCTCTTTTTGTGTCCCCTGCTCCCTCTTTATATCTGTCTCTTTTTCAGTCATGCATTTTATCTTTTCTATTTGTCTTAATATTTTTTCTCTGTCTTATAATTCAGAGCCCAGTCAAGTCTGCTCAGATCTAATATGAGAACTGTGAACATAACCCTCTTTGATTTCAGGCTTTTCTTAGATAAGCATGGCTAAGTCAGTAATGGTGTGTTACAGTGATTGATTTAATGTGTTGACTTACATGCAGTGTACCATGTAACAGTAAAGTCATAATGTAATGTAATAATGTCTGTATTGGAGACTTTATAAGCTGTTGAAAGCCGCTAATGCTAGCAAGGTGCATATGGTCATGATGTGGGTTTCTCTATCTAATCTATAGCAGCGAAAATTTTAACCAAATTTTATAAAATTCATCAAAAGAAAATGTGAATTAATGTTTGTTTCAATCCACTTGAGTTCTATTAATATTAAGAATTGAATTGGCTAATCAAGATAAACAGCTGGTGGTGCTAGTTCTTCTGTCAGGTGCCAGTAAAACCACTACAGAAGACATTGAGGGTGCAGCAAGATGATACAATTCAAACCTCAAATGGTAGAAAACATTTTTTAAAAACCTTATGTAAATGTAGCGTTTATGTTTACTTTATGTACTAATTTAAGGAACATGCAGTAAAGGGCTCATTGCTCCACACAAATCTGATGCTTTCATCTTTTCAGTGAATGTTTAGGGCACATGCTTCATCCTTATTTTTTCATTAAGTCTGCTTCCATTGCACTTTGTTGTGTTGCTTTTATTTATACAGCATCTTTTCCATCTCACCCAAGCCTAAAAACATTTCTGCCATATCTTTTCTGTCACTCAGTTGGTCCACCATTTTTATCCAAATTGATATATCGCAACTGCTGGATGAATTTAACCTTGGTGCACACCTTCATTTCTCCCAAGGATAAATTGTGACAACTTTGGTGACCCAAGAGTTTTTATTTACCTCCATCATCAGGTCCCAAATTAACTGCAGTTTATGACTAATATTTGTAAACCTAATGTGGGACACCAGCATATAAGGATTGTAGTAGTGAATATGTTACGATGTTGATATTCGCATTTAGCTCAAAGTACTGCAGTGCCTCGCAGAGCTGCTAGCTACTAAGTTCTCAGTCATGTTGCTCTTTTTTTACAAACCAGATGGATACCACATTGACCTTGTGCCGTCATAGTTCCTCTGCAACTAGTAATAGAGTACCGGATAGAACTGTCTATTCTGTCGAGTCATTTTGTGAGATTTTTGTGTTTCTGAGCTCATAAACATGTTTCTTTCATTCTTAAATTCTTGCATGCTCTGTGCTGACAGACTAATGAAATGTTTTGGCACATCTAATAAATATTGTCAAGTCCTTTAGTTACATTCAATTGTTCTACTGAATAACAGAGTGTTAGTGAACTTGTAACTTTAGAATACAGCATTGGCCTACACACCAAAAAGCCTGGGATGGGGTGTACTGTAAATGTTTAGATGGGGGCATGGGCAGAGCCAAGGGGTGGCCAGGGGTGGCAGCGGCCAACCCCAAATTTTGATTGGCCACCACAGCTAGTGTTATGCAAAGAAAAAAGATGAATTGTTGCCATACATACAAATAACATTTTTCTGGTGCATTATAATTGCTATTGGTCATTTTAGTTTTATTTTATATCATGCACGCAGCATGATATTTGCATTAATTTCTCTGATTGTGTTGTTGTGGAGTACTTGGCATGATTTGCCTCAGTGGGGGTGGAACCACTGTGCAGCAGCAATGTCTCCCAGTGGGTGTAAATAAGGATCACAGCCAAAGCTAGTTAAAGAAAACACTGTGGTTGTCTCATTTTAACACAAAATAAACAATTAGATTTTAAATAATGTATGGTTCATTACTTTATAGAACCAGGGGTTTAATTTACTTTTTCTCTTAGTCTGTGCCTGAGCCTAGCCACCCTGTCCAAAACTTTCTGCCTCTGGTTGGATATAAAGTTTTTGTCAACTACTTTATGCTGTTCTTTTCAGGTTTAGTGCCCTAGTGTGCCACTTCACAACATAAGCAGAATCTGCAAATATTTTCTTAATAGTAATAGTTAATGGGACATAATATGTCAAGAATATTTTAATGTTGGGGGAAAAATCCACATTGATATATTCCTGAACTGAGAGCAAATTGATGCAAGGTAAGACAGAAATGAAGTCATCACCTCTGGTAGAGCTCAGCAAAATATTCTCTTGACTTTCTGCTCAATTTGTGACAATATTAATATTCCATTTAACTCAGACCTTGACATTTATCTGGTTGGCATTTAGCTGAGAGGGGCTGCAGCCAGAGGTGAATGTCTGGGACTGTGTATGCTTCTGTGCAGAGGGAAGGGGAGCATATGTAAGCATCATGCGTGTCTGTAAGTGTGTGGATTTTTGGTGAATTCAGTGAAGGTTTACAATTCTAAATATCCCTCCAGTTCAAAACTCCCTAGACCTACCTACCCCTCCTTTGTTGTCCTTGTCAGGCCCATCCACCTGCATTCAACTGCACTTGTAAACCTGTGTCTCCTAAACACCTGGCAGTGTCTCAAAAGCAGGATTGCAGGCATTATTCTAGTGGATCTCCTCATAACAAGAAGAGCATGTTTTAAGGAGCCTAGGTTTCCAGTTGACAGACAATATTTTATTCCATTTGGATCCCTTCTTGCCATGAGTGCTAGTTTTTAATGAGCCCCAGTCCCAGATTGTTCAGTTGATTTTTGTTGTTTGGACCCCCCCCCCTCATCTGGCAAGAGTACTAGTAAGTTTTAATTAGCCTGGGACCTAAGGTAAGTTACTATATTTACTCACTTTTGGTTTCCCAAGTGACAAGAGTATGTTTTAATGAGCCTCATTCACACCGTGAGAGACTATACAATGTGTCAAATCAGACTAGTAGGAAATGTATGAGCTCCAAATGCCTTTTGTTCCCGTTTCTTTTCTTCTCTAGAAACTTCAAACTTAACACAGCTTCTAACTGGTTAAGATCATAAAATCAGTGCTCATTATTGAAAGCTACTGTCATTATTGGCACTGAAAATAGCAACTGCAATGTGGCCCTTGCCCTGGTGAATTCCTATGCTCGACTGATTATCAAATCATTTGAAACCTGCACAGTGTACGTGATGTATCAGTAGTTGTTTTAAATGAATGTGACTTGTATGCAAAATCACATTCAAGACATGAGGAGGATTATACGTGTGATGTGTGTGTACAGATGGGTTGGTGCCGATGTGTTTTTAAAGGCTAAATGCTGGTGGATGTATTCCTTTGCACCTGTGTGGTTTTGTATCTGTTCCTGCATGAAGATGAAATTGTGTGCTGATTTTGTGTGCATGAGATTATGTGCTTGTGACTGTGTGGAATAACTGCAGTGTTTTTAATGATAAGAATGCTTGCCAAAAAGACAGGGGTACAGTGCTATATAAAACACATATTACCAGATAGCCTTCTCTGTCTAAGTCGCTCCTCTCACCAGGTGCTTTCTGCAAAATGTCTTAGAAAAAGAGTGCGACTCTATGTAAATGTCAGTCCCTAGTGTGACTATAGTTCTTTCCCAAACTGATTCTGTGGTGTCGCTCCAGATGAAGCCACACTCACAGCTGTGTAGGGCATTCTGCATTAAGAGGAAGGGTATAAATAAACCACTAAGTTGTGGGGCACACATACCACCAGGTATCATGAGCAGGAAACATCCATGACTATAGATACCAATAGATGCAGCCTACTATATATTGTCTGTTATTTAATATCATGGTCAAAGCAATCATCGTGTGCTAAAAATGGCTCTTTATTAAGTGTAGAGTTTTATTGTAAATAGTTGTTTTCTTTCTTCCTCATAAATTATTTCCAAAATCATTTCTAAAGAAAATATTTTAAAACCTGCATTGTTTACCTCTGTGTTTACAAGCTAGCCGGTCCTCTTTTACTGTACATGCCTTTGTTAGCGTGCTGCTACTGCAGATTCCTGCCACCAGCTGTCAACCTGTAGAAGAATATTAATCAAGTCACATGCACATGTGTTAGTGTGCTGGTAGAGCATGCAGTACAAATGAAACGGTGCCTGTTCATTAAACCACTGCTTCTGCAGGTGGAGACAAACTTGTTAGGGTACCTTCCACTCCACACTAATTACCCTTTAATTACCCTTTAATAAGGAGAACCCTCAATATTAGTAAACTGAGGCAGGGATAGGGTGAAAGTACTGGGGCCACACTGATATATTGTATGCAGTGATTGCCCATCAATTATCACTCCTGCAGCTCTAGACCAAAAACCTTAACCTGCACAGTCCCAGACCTCTGGATTACTTTCCATATCTTTTTTTTTCTACAATTCAAATAGCGAAAAACAGAAACTCTGAATGTTTTAGTTCTACTTTTGTTCTGTACCATGTATCCATGCAATTAATTTTGAAGTATTTTCATAATTTTGGGGTTGGTGCAGTCCAGCGCAATATAATGCTAGAAATACTACAGTGTAGTCTGATGTTGAGCACCTGCCTAAATATGCAATGGAGGTATTGATTCCATTCTTGTTTAAGTTCCTATTACATTGTGCAGGTGTTCATGATATTGTTTCCACCCCTTGTATGATAGAAGAAGATGAAATAAACTTTGAACCCGGGCTGATGACAAAAATCCTACATGGCTAATCTGAACTGCGCCAGTGTGGTGGGCAGGTACTGCAGATTTATGGCATATATTGTGCATGTGTCAGCGTGTGTGTGAGGGTGTGTGGATGTGAGTAGAGTTGTGATTTTCAAGGTGATTTTAATATTTATTACTGCTTTCCTTTGTAGTTAGTAGCGAATGTCTGACCAATCTGTCCTCACTTCTGCATCACCCTCTCTTCTCTCTTTGTCTTTGTCCCTCATGTTGCCTTGTTTTTACATACCATTTTTCCTCATCTGTTTCTTATTGTATACACACATCCCTGAAGCACATTG